TATACTACTACTTTAAACTTTATTTAGCTTAATTATTCATCTAATTTTTCAACCAACTTAATTTAATTAAATTAATTGGCTAGAATGATTTATAATGTCTCTTAAGAGGTCTTGATGTCCTGCTCACCTTATTTTCACTTATTAAACCTATAATAAATTTAAATTAATTTAGTCGTAATAAGGGATATTCAAGCTAGTTTAGAGTACAATGATATTTTAAAAAAAAGTTTTACCAAGTAAAACCAAATTAATAAAATGCATCATAAAAGTCACTATATCCATATATATGTACAAGGATGGTATAATTTATATTACTTATTCCTTAACATTTTTTTATGCATAGGATGGATTCGAATGATATCATGTTTTATTTATTAGTCACTGTACTTAAAAAAAAATACAATGATTTGGTATTAATAAAAAGATCATATTGTATTATTGCACCACACAAAAAAAAAATAAAAAAAAATGATTGAGTTATTGTTAATGAGAAATGAGATAGACAAAGAGAAAAATGCAAAGAAATAAAAAAAGTGTTATCATCATCATGATAATGTAACTTTCAACCGGCCAACTGCCAATAGGCAATAGCTTAGAATAATGATATAAGTGGTCAACATCATAAGATAAGTGTCAAAATTGAAATCAAGTCTATTTTCTTTGTTTTGTTAATTAATAATTAATACGATGAGTTTGTACAAGCTAATAATTAAGTATGTACACGGTTTTGGTAGGACATAGTCTTGATTTTGAATGTATTACGTATAAAACCCCATGGCAGTGGGGGAAGCGTTAGTTGAACATATTGCCGACATGTTGATTTGGGCGACTGAGTGGATGTTATGTTAATCTGTTGAATAACTAGGACACAAATATGCCCACATTTCACTCATTACAAAACTATTACATACTTGTATTTATATATATGGACCGGGGGGAAACTATATATAAATTAACTCTAATTTAAATTTGCATGCAATGGCATATCTTGTACTGTATGTGCGAGCTAGTCCATGCATACACCTGTTTGCTTAGCAAACGTTGCCGTCTTTTGGCTTTTCTTCTCAACAACCCGACGCAGCAGCCACAAACACACTTGCCACTTGCTACTTGCAACCTCGCTTGACATGTGCTCATCAGTATTCGATATATATATTATGCAAAATAAAAACACTTATACGTAGTACGTATAAAATATAATGTCCACTTAATAAATTAATGTACTTCCAAGTTCCAACCTCAATATGGTTGGAGGTGTAAAGGAAAGGGTTTAATCCACACTTGTGATATTTTAGAGAGGATTCCCTTAATATACGTCTATTTTTAAAAATCAGGTCTATTCGAATCAGGTTTATATGTAAGAGATAAATTTAATTTGATTTTTATTTGAGTATGCCAACTAAAAAAACAAAATAATAAATTAATTTAAATGTACTTTGCATTATGCTTGAATATTTATAGTGACACAATAATAAATTCAGAGTACAGAGATGGACTAATTAGTACAGACGACTTACAGTAGACGACAACGAACAGGATTGAATTGAATACTCTGTAGTGATTTACGAGCTGAGTAAAGATTAAACACGGTGAGTATCCTCTATAAATTGAACACGTAAGTAAAGAATGTGTGTGTGGTGGGTTCAAGTTAATGCAAAATAAAAAGAGGAAAGAACGCAACAACAGAGTACGAGTCGAAGAAACAGTAATCGACTACTACTAACGTGTTGCTTACCACATGTATGTGGCACAGTAAACCAAAACCCACGCTTGAAGGATTTTTTAAAAAAAATTTACTAAACCTCTTTTTTAATACAGTAGTAGTATACCCGTATTAAAATTAATTTCAGTACAAGTGAATAAATTCCATGTAGAGTACATGCATAGTTTAAAGTGTCATTAGCCCTTTAGCTGAAGCAAAGGGCTCCTTTATTTTGGTGGGGAATTTCATGCTCTTTGCTACTATTACTACTGTATTAATTAATTACTGCTACTCTTATTATATTTTGTTTTTATTCACTCAACTTGTATGTATATACTTTAGCATACTTTACCACCCCAATGATTTTTAGTCTCAATTTCTAGACATTTTAATTTATATTTTTAGTCCGTGTTCTCCACGATTTCAGATTTATTTAAACATCATATCAACTAAATTCATATTCGACTTTAGGCCGTATTATTCTTTACCTCTTCTTTTTTAATAATATTTTTCGATCATTGAACGCATTACTACTCTTTAATTAGGGCATAGTTTGTTCAACTTAATTTCAGTTCAGTTTTTATTTTCCTTCTCTCATATACAATTCATTCAACTCAGTTCAATTTAATTCAATTCAGTTGTTTTCAAGAAATCGAAACATACCCTTAGTCCTTACTAATTATGGTAAATATATATGTCTATTGTTGATTGTTTTATTAGTTATCTTTTTAATTTGTCTTTTATCTATTTTGTTGAATTGAAATGAGTGTATTCTATATATTCACATGAACTTATATGAATTTAAATTGAGCATTTGTAAAATGAATTATCCCTTTTTAACCCGTTTTAAGTCTAGTCCCAATTTATATAGAATTAAATCTTTTCTCAAAAATCTCTTATTTGCATAGATCCAATTTAAACTCATACATCATGTAATATATAAGAAATACAAGTATATGAAAGTAATGTGAACGAACTTTTATTAAAGGTGAATGAAAGTTACTTAATTTCGATCGACAATTAAAATAAATTAGCCTTCTGGCCCGTTCCATGCACGGGTTATTACTTAGAATATTTTCCTTGTAATGTGTTGCTTATTTGTGTTTATATGAGTCAGCATTGTTTTATTGTACTTTATATATATGTTTATATAATGTGGACTAATTAACTCAACTTTTTTTTATTTTTTTTTATTTACTATTACTTTATTTTAAGTTTAGGAGATGAAAAGTCTACGACTTTATTTTGGTGTAGTTGAAATACTTAATTTCCTTACTTAAATTTGCAAGTTACAGAATGCATAAAGACATGAACTTTTTTTTATATATATATATATAAAGAAGGTGGTATGTGGCATATGAATGATTTGTGGTGACATGTGGCATATGAGTAGTGTGTGGTTTGTGTTTTTAAATACTAAAACTAAGTATAGAGTATAGATATAGATATAGATATAGATTGTATTAATTTATTAATATGTGAAATGATGTAAATAAAATACATCAATCTTTAATAACTAGGAATACTATGACATCAAGAAAGAACTGTATGTAATAACTTTACTGAGTATTATAATACGTTCCGTGATGAAAAGAAGTAAATAAAATACATTTTAAATTATTAGAGTGCTACGACATCAAGAAAGAGAGAATTAATTTACAGCTAAACAAGAATTTATATTACTAATAATGATATACTCCGTATATATGGATCATTTAAAAAGGTGCAGTATATATGTGCATGGTCCAGTTGTAATATATATCACCCACAGACAAGAATAATCTCGTTTGGTACAAAAACCAGTAAATTTCATGGCGTATGATTTAGTTTATGTTTAGTCGACACTCCCCACATGTTAACATGAACTAATGCTTGAAATTGAAGGCAAGTTTTTTGTGAACTGTGTGCACTTATTTTATAGTACCATATAATCTTTTATTTCTAGTAATAGTATGCAACATTTACTATATTCACCTTAGATTGTTTGAGCTAGCTATATTGATCTTCTGGACTCCAATGACTAGTAATATAATAATGCTCGTAATGTTTATAACATGCACACTCCATTCCAAAGTTATTCTCGCTTAATGTAATTTCACATATCTAGGAAAACATATAAAATAATTTATGTAAGTGTTCACTAGTGAATTAGTGATTACCTCTCAAGAGAATGAATGAGTTTAATAGTTTAATAAGGAAACTATAAAATAAATATATATAAAATGTTATTAGATTTGTTTTAATATACATTTTCAATCCACAAGAGTTATAAGTTTAAAACAATTAGTAAAATTCAGGTGAATAAAACACACCCTTATAACTTGTTTTACTCACCTTATTATTTTTAGGTATTTCGGGAAAAATAAGCCAAGCTAAGATAAGATGGGCAAGGAAAAATAAATTCTAATAAACTCTATCAAGGGCCACAAATAAATTCAATATGTTACAACTAATGTAAGTTATACTCCATAATTAGGAAAATTTGCCAATTACTACCGCAAGTTAATACCACTTTGTAAATTACTACCGCAAATTAAAAAAGTTGTGAATTACTACCGCAAAATTTTTTTAAAATGTTGCGATTACTACCAAACCCCCATTAAACCCAACTATGACGTCATTATATCACTTTAACCCATGGTTAAAGCCCTTAACCATGACGTCATTATATCCCTAACCCATTTCTTTTTTTTTGGGGGGGGGGCTGATTAAAGCCCTTAACCATGGTCAAACACGGGTTAAAGGGATATAATGACGTCATAGTTGGGTTTAATGGGGGTTTGGTAGTAATCGCAACATCTTAAAAAAATTTGCGGTAGTAATTCACAACTTTTTTAATTTGCGGTAGTAGTTTACAAAGTGGTATTAACTTGCGGTAGTAATTGGCAAATTATCCCCATAATTATGTCTAATAAGTTTTGATAAGATACAATAAGCAAGATAGTTTCAAATAAGATAATTTAAATTAAGTAAAAATCAAGTGATATGAATTTAAAGGCACTAGTGAGTGTTGGCTCTTGTAGGCCTTATTTCATAAGTTAAAGAAAAAAAGATCTAGCTAGCAGACGCCTCTAGACATTACGTTTTAAATTTAGAATGCATGACAAAATTAGATATCGATCCATTCTCTTATCTAACACCCTAAAGAGCACTAATTAGCTTTTGCTAAAGAAAAATAAGGTCTGATAAGTTGTACAGATGTTAGATTTATATGATCCGAGTACATGTGAATTTAAAATAATACTGGTATAAATTGAGAATTCTCCATAACAGATCTGAAATACTAAACCAAGAAGAAGCATAAAAACAAGCAAAGTACCCATCAAATGTTATACTTCGTAATACGGAGGCATAGTATTTGGGTATAGTGATGGTAAAACGTAGGAGTATTAAATAAAAATGAGAAAAAGAAGAAACAAGCTTTTTGCTGTGAATTCTCCTCTTCCCGGCCCCCCTCTATGTTTCTCTCTCCACCGCAAATCCACTCCCCAAAACACCATTTCGCAAACTTCATCATCACTCATAACCTTGCTTCTTTCTTCATTTTTTTTTTAATAAATATAAATATATAAATATAAATAAACGACTTGTTCATTCATTGATTCGTAAATAAGATCCCCAAAAATATCCCACATTTTGCCATTTCTCCCCAATTCCCCCGATTTTCTCTCTCTTCTATTCTTAATTTCACAGCTCAACCATTCAACCATATCCCCCCATAATTATTATCTTCATTCATTCTTTTTAATAAATTTAATTTAACCCCCAAATCCCTTCCTTCTTTTCTTTTTTCCCATCATTTATTTATTTATTTGACGATCAAATAAATCATGCGGGTTAAAGATATGCATCCTCTCTGTTGCATTTCATTAGAAGGCGGCGGCGGCGGCGGCAGTGGCAGCGCCGGCGATAGCAGCCCGGGCCCACGTATCGGGTCATTGGAATTAGCCCTATCTCCGGCGGGAAGCCTGAAGCGAAGCTCCACCCTGCCCGGATCCTTTACGGGCAATGCGGGCAGTTTCCGGCGATCTGAAATGAGCGTCGCCGGAGCATTATTCAAATGGACGAATTACAGCAAAGGATGGAGATCTCGATGGTTTCTGTTGCGTGGAGATGGGTTGCTTTCTTATTGTAAGATTCTCTCCCCTCAATCCCTCAATTCTCTCTCCTCTTCTTTGGGAGATGACGTCACTGTCATCGGTGATTTGACGTCACCGCGTCTTATTCGTTTGGATAGTTGTGGCCGGAAGAAGGATTCCAAGAAAAACTCCGTCGTTCATCTCAAGGTACTAAACTAATGCATTTCTTTTTGTCAATTATATTTATTCATTTAATTTTTTAAAATTGAGAATTTATCCATTTTTATTTCCAGGAATTGGTAATTAAAATACTCGTAGAAATGGAAAAATAGGGGTTAAAAAAAGAAAGAAGGGGGGAGGTGGGGTGGGGAAGTGGGTGTTAATAAGGAGTGGGTCACATCAACAGGTGGGTAGGCCATGAAATAGAGAGGGGGGGCTATGAGTATGAGTATGAGTATGAGTATGAGCCCTATATTACTTGTTATAAATGTTAGGTGGGGTCACCTTTCACTTTCACTCTCACTCTCTTCCATCTATCAGTCATCTCTATCATCCACAACTCCTCAATATTTGCTCTTTCTTTCTTTTTCTGTTTCCCTTTTTTTTTTTTTAATCACTTGTATTCATATTTGTTGCTCTTTTATTGGCACTGTATTTTTTGTTGCATGTCTTTCTTTGCTTCTTCACATATCTAATGTGTGTGTTCTGGTAAGTTGTAATTCTAAATGTCAAATTTAATTTTAATTATTGTTATTATCAACTTTTAGTATTGTAGACATTGTCTGGATTGTTGGCTTTAAATTACTGGCTTGCTGATATTTTTGACCTCACATTTGGTGTTATAAGAATTGTATGATTATCAAGTTTCAATTTTTTATTTTTGTATATTTGTATGTTCATTTTAAGTGTATGTTTATACTTGTATATTCTTCAATCATGTACGAGTAATTTAAATCTCTTCACTGTTGTGGGATTTAGGAATTTTGGTTTCAATGTGGGTCTTTCATAGTGTTAGCTTGACATAAACATTACTTTTTTCTTAGGGTTTTAGCCTTTGTGGTTATAATATGCAAAAGATTGTCAATTCCACCTTTATAAAAATGGGTGTTGGTGTTTCTCCATTCGTCACATAGCTGTGATGTAGACGATTGCATATAGACTCTTCTATTGTTGGCCATTTACATAAGACACCAATGTTTGCTTCTTTCTTTCTTAGCTCTTCTTTCCCCTCTACTGTAAATTGGATTGTATCAACTCTTTTCCAGATATCTTTATCTGTTATTTTAGTAAATAGACGAGTTTTCTCGTTTGAATATGTAATTTGTTAAATAAATGTGGATAGGAAAGTAAATTGTGATATGTATGCTTGATTTTATATTCCTGGTAAAAACTAAGCAGTTCAGTAGTTTTCCCTTTGCAGAACTATTTGGTGTGTATTTGCAACTTGAATCAGTTTGTCAAGGCTAAGATAACTGACTCTTTCAATTTTTTTCTTTGGCTATAGATCTGATTATATTACTCCCTACCTTTCCTGAAATTTAAATTTGGGAGGACATATATGCGTGTTTGTGTGTGCAGGGTGTAATTTCTTTGTTGTCTAGCAGCCAATGTTCTCCGTAGTGATGATTGCCTAAATTTAAGGATTTAGTTTGTGTAACTTAACTGTTATCCTATGATGATAAACTCTCTTTGTTTGTGCATGTGTGTGTGTGACAAACAAGTTATTTTCAGCTATTATGGCTTAAACTTCTTAAAATTGCCATTCAACATGGAAAATGTTCTAGTTTAAGTGCTTAACTTTACCCGTGTATATAACCCTAATGGTTTCATTTGAGTGTGTGCACTAACATTCGGGATTGGAGATGTTGATGATTTTGAACATAATATTACTCGATACCCATCGTCCTCTTTTGATATTCTAGATAGAATTTGTGTTGAACTAGCAAATTTTGGATGATTGGTTCGTAATCTAAAGGATACCCTACATATAAAGTCTAGAACACACCTAATTTTTTTTTGCTGGATTGGAGGAATACTATTATCTGTGGAAAATCTTTCAATTCATTTCAAAAATTTGATTGTATATAAATTGTAAGCAGGTATCATCATTTCGAGAGAGCAGGTCTGATGATAGGAGGTTTTACATATTTACAGCTACAAAAACTCTCCACCTAAGGACTAATTCAAAACGTGAAAGGGCGCTTTGGTTAGAAGCTTTGGCATCAGCAAGAAGTCTCTTTTCCCTGAGAAGACCACTGAATGATAATCTCCCGCTTTCTCCTGACAGCATTTCCATTTCAACTGAAAGATTAAAGAAGCGATTGGCTGAAGATGGGGTCAATGAGTCGATTGTAAAGGAGTGCGAGCAGATTATGCTTTCAGAGTTCTCAGACATACAACGAAAGCTGAAAGTTCTTTGTGAGGATAGATCCAATTTGCTGGACACATTAAGGCAGTTGGAGGTAATGTCTAATGCTCATATAGCCTCTACTATGATTTGATTCGAGTTCATTATTATCACGGTGGCTGACTGGGCAAACTCTTACAAAAATAATTAACAGTTCTCTGTGATCAGTTATGTTTTCCATTAGATTATCATCCCTCATTCGTACTACTTACTTAAGAGCAATTACCTAAAATTTGAAGTCTGTGTATCTTTATTGTTGGCTATTAGTTAAGATGTACAGACTGTGGATTACATAGGCTCGGCAATACTTAAGTTGGTCAACCAAACAAAACTAGGTAGCGTATGTAGGGCTGTCTTCCTATGAGGGTTGGTTAACTTGGGTCTTAGGTTATAAATTAGTTTGTTAAGATCAGAATCTTCACAAAGACTCTCACATTTTTCTACAATTTTTTGAAATAAAATTAGTGAGTCTAATTAGTGAGTCTTGACTATGGACCACCAAAGTCAAGTGGTTGTTTGGTTGCAATCCTTGAATCTACAATTCCTATGTTATTCTAATAAAATGAATAAATTTGTTTGATTGACCTAAGGGGATTTAGGTAAGCAATTCCCCCCATCAAGGGAGAATTAGAACATTTTTACTATACTTGGTTATGCAATCAAACAACTAGTTCCTACTTCCTAAGATGTATTGGAAGTCAACTAAAGAAATAAACAGCTACAAGTTCAAAATTTGACATTTTTATAAAAAAAAAATAAAAAAAAAATAAAGGTACTTCGTAGTATACTCCGTATGTATTTTCTAGTACAATTTAGTGTATGGGTTTAAGAGAAGAAGTCTGGTAAAGGTATGTTATTGAAGAAGTTGGGTACAAGCATCCAAATTGAGTCTGAATAATGACGAAATGATAGGGCCAGCTAGCAAAGAGGCCCAATAGTGAAAAAGACGTCCCCAATCCCAAATAGGTTAGGCCCAGCTTTAGCTTCATACTTCCTTATTCAGAAAGGAGAAGGAGAAGACAAAATGTCTGTCAACATTCAGGGTTGCGTCAAAACTTGTTGCTATATCTATCATCTATGGCCACAATCGAGCTTAATTGAATATCTGCTCAAACATTTCATTGTCTTAATAAGATGTGCCATGCTTCTGCTATCATGTAAGCTCATCCTCTTGAATTTTCATTTCTTTTTATTTCTCTTCGTTTATCTGTTCATTCTCATCTAAGCTCAATGTTATTGCAACTCCAAATTACTCTATTTTGCTTCTTCTGGGCAGTTTCTAGTCATTACGAGATCAGCCTTGCCATACTGTTTTTAAGGAGAAACGTCAATTTTGCTTAATTTGACAATCCTATCCAAATTTCGCCAAATCCTCATTTATGACTAGAATAAAGACTTAAAATTATCAAGTATTTCTGAATTTTGTTTTTCTTGCTCAAATTTGCCTATCTTTACATGCTTTTTTGGTTTGATAAGTGCTATACATATTTATAGTCTCAAGATCCTTGACTCGTAAACAAAGGGAAATGAAGTTGATCCTCATTAATATTTGTTTTGTGCAATTGATGTAGGCAGCAAATGTCGATACTGAAGCTCCAGGAATCAATGATAATGAATATCATCTTTCAAAGAACGAATACTCCAGCCTAGAGCGTGCTAAATATAGTGGTATTAATGCTATGGTGCTCTTTCTGTCTACTCCTCTTTTTCTTATGTCATTAAACAACATAGAATGAATATACTGTATTTATAAGATTCACCTTCTGGTTTATTTGCACTTTCTGGTGTAGTTTTGAGTTTTGACTGCTTAGCATATTAGAGATGTTCCATACTACTTTTGTTATTTTGACTGTGTATTCTTTTATAATTTTCCTATTCTTCTGAAATTAGATTCAAGATTTTATTTTCAGTTGATCTCTGCTTATTCCCTCTTCCTGTTCCCTCTAGCTTCATACATTGACAATACTTCAAAAATCTCTGTTACGCATCATTATAGTTTTACTGATCCCAGGTTTGTTAAAGTAGTATACGTTGCTGTTATTGATTGAGAGTTGAAGCTGTGGACGTATTGTTGGCTATGTTCTATATTTGAGTTACATATTCAAATCTTAACTAAGGCAGTGGATGTATTGCCCATTTCTTTTGGATTTTGTCTTGACTCTTACACTTGGGAGTTCTTATTTATTGCTATCCTTTTTAATTATGTGCTTTGTAGAGCTAAAGTTTTCTGATCTTGAGATTTTAATAATAATCTTCACTTCCAAGACCACGTTCTATAATTTTATTACTTCTTGACTTTTGTTTGCTTTTGGATGTCTAGAATGTAGTACCACTGAGTCATCTGATGACACTGAGAAACAAGACGTGGAGGAGGCATCAGATGAAGACAAATCTTGCTATTATGATTCGAAGGACTACTTTACTGAATCTCCATCTCGTCTTTTTGGCAGTGGTATGGACACTGAAGGTCAAGTTGGTGATGTGAACTATGCTTGGCCTACGGAGGCCTCAGGTGAAGCTCTATGCTCACACATTGAAAGGCGTAAAAGACTTCCTGATCCAGTAGAAAAGGAAAAACCTGTCAGTCTCTGGTCCATGATCAAAGACAATGTAGGAAAAGATCTTACGAGAGTATGTCTGCCAGTGTACTTCAATGAACCAATATCATCACTTCAGAAATGCTGTGAAGACTTGGAGTATTCTTACCTTTTGGATCGAGCGTATGAATATGGTCAAGAGGTAAGTTCAAGAGTCCTTAAGTTTCTTGGTCTTACTCCATGGTTTAGGCATCCAAGGGCTGGGAAAGGAGATCCTGATTTACTCTGTTGGTTGTTAGGAGTTATTCAGTATCAATATTAATATTCAATTATATCAGTGCTCTTTCAATGAGAAATACAGAGTTATATTTTATTCTTCACAAGAACTAAATGAAAGTAGACTCGGAATGCAATTTAAATTAGATTGAGTTGGGAGTGGAGGCTTTTTCTGAAGACCAATGTTTTCTTTCTTATCTTTCCTATTTTGTTTGTTCAATACCTCTATGTTGTGTATTTCCACCAAGTCAAAATCCTGCTTCAGTCTCAAATTATTGCATTCTCTATTGTCTGTACAATGTGTTAACAGTATTAATGCTGAATGCTATGAATGTTCTAATGCTATTTGTTAGGGAATCTTTATTTTTTTCTTTAGTTCCCTAGTTAGATTGGGATGTATAATTGGTGTCAGGAATATTCAATATAGCCAAGAACTTTTTTTTGTCTAGTCTCGACAAATTCATCATAGCTGAAGTACTGGTAGAGAAGTAGTAAACATAGCTTTAAAATATTCGTCATTGGCAATCTCTTGAATGTGTGCCCAGTCAAATTTTCTTTTATGGCACTGCATATCTGATCGTGTACTCGTTTCTTGCAGGGAAACAGTCTTATGAGAATTGCGAACGTTGCAGCTTTTGCCGTTTCTGGCTATGCATCTACAGAAGGCCGACTCTGTAAACCATTTAATCCTTTGCTAGGGGAAACTTATGAAGCTGACTTTCCTGAGAAAGGAATTCGGTTTTTCTCTGAGAAGGTTAGTACCTGCAAATTTAAAATGGGCTGAACTGCTTGAGTTTTCTTGTGTTTATAACCGTTCCGTTCCTTTTCATTTGTTTCCTTCAAAGTTAAATTGAAATATTGTCCAAAATCTTCTTTTGCATCTTATTTAATAGGGAGGGTACAAGGTTGTCTACTCTTTCAGAAAATTCTTGCTATTATGATAATCACCTGAATTATGTATTAGATTACAAGCATTAGGAAAGAAAAGGCTTTGTGTTCAAACTTTATTTGTGAGTTTATGACCAGTGCAAGTAGCAAGCACGAATGTCCATGGAGCTGCTCCTTTGGCCCAAAACAAAAGAGGATTTTATTTGATTGTTGGAAGCTTTTAGAAAATATTAATCACTATCTGATGGATGTCCTAATCTCCTAATTATGTTATCATTGGTTATCATAGGTAAGTCACCACCCCACTCTCATAGCCTGCCATTGTGATGGTAGAGGGTGGAAGTTCTGGGCAGATAGTAACTTGAAGACCAGCTTTTGGGGTCAAACTATTCAACTTGATCCAGTTGGAGTATTGACTCTTGAGTTCGATGATGGAGAGATATTCCAATGGAGCAAGGTGTGGTCTTTTATCTCCATCATTCTAAGATTTAATTGCCTTAATTTGCTTCTCTATGAATGTTACAATTTAATGTCTTTTATATTTTATTTTTTTGTTTTAGGTCACAACTAGCATTCATAACCTTATCATTGGAAAAATTTATTGTGATCATCATGGAATGATGCACATACGTGGTAATCGTCAGTACTCATGCAACCTTAAATTCAAAGGGCAGACTTTTCTTGACAGGAATCCCCGCCAGGTAAATTGTCTATTGTTTTAATCTTTGAAGAAGAGAGGGGTTTTCGCTTGATTTATGGATTTTGTGGAATAATATATATATATATATATATATATATATATATATATATATATATATATATATATATTTTGCATATATTTTTTGCATATGCATTGATTACTCGGAGTAATCAAATTTGGTTTATGTAGCCGACCCCACTCATGGGATTAAGGATTTGATTGATTGCATTGTATGGTTGGAAACCTATACTAGTAAGAATATCTAGTTGTCTTGACTAAACAAGATGAAGGGTCATCTAGATGATGAATGGTATTCAGCATCTTTGTTGTGATTTATTGATGCAGTATTTAAAAAAGCTTGCTTGATTGAGGCACAAGGCACTACGGGTTATGCACCTTTTTGTGGTTTCTTTGAAGCATACCTAGGAGGCTAGGAGTACACCATTTTTTTCTCAATATTTTACTGTTTATAAGGTGTGCCTCACTTCAATGAGGTGCGTCGTCTATGATGTAGGGAACCTAAAATTTATTTTCTTGGCTCGCCTTGGGCATTTTATACACCAATCTCATGTCATTGTTTCTAATATGGATCTTGATGACCCAATAGAGAGAATTTAGAAGGTAGTGACATCTATGAGTGAAATAAATGGCAATTTTTTGAACTCTTAACAAGAATTCTTATGCACAGACGCTCAACTCAGTGTCATATATTATATGCTCAATTAAATAAACAATGACCCCCTATATACATGGTTATCTGGCTAACATTAACTCTGACCAAGATAAAATTTTAATGTGATTCTTAGTGTTCCCATAAGTCCATATTATGAGTTAATGAAGCCGTGATATATTTTTTTGTTAATTAGCCCAGAAAGTATGATGAATGTCACTTTGAGTGATTAACTTTGGGTCATTTTGCTCCCTCATTATTCCTCCCTTTTTGGAAAAAGGATCCATCCTCGAATTAATGCCCCTTGTAAGATTTGGATTAAGAACACTCACAATGTCATGAATCAAGGGTACCTTTGGATTAAAATATAGTCAACTTGAGTTTTAAACATCTTTATTTTGATCCATCATCCTCCCATTAAGTAGGGTTACCCTTTGAAATTAAATTGCTATAACAGATGAAGGAAATACTACGTAATTATATTTATTTTTCCACTTGTGCACCAGTTTCTATAATCAATTTTTCCTGCAGGTTCATGGTTTTGTCGAAGATGGCGAAGGGAGCAGAGTAGCAACAATATCTGGAAGGTGGGACGATAGTATTTATTGTATCGAAGGAGATGGAAAGAATAAGCGTAAAGATTTAAATTCATCAGATGATGCTTCTTTGATTTGGAGAAGGACCAAACCTACTCCTAATCTTACTCGATACAACTTAACACCATTTGCCATTACTCTCAATGAACTGACTCCTGGGCTTAAGGTATTCCCGTCACTTTGTTAGGCCTGTCACTTTGTGCATTCTATATAAGTTTTTCTGTTTCTCTAATTGTTTCTGATAGTTTTTTGTGATTCTTGATATTTGATCACGGATTAAGGAGAAGCTTCCCCCAACAGATTCAAGGCTTAGACCTGACCAGCGACATTTAGAGAATGGGGAGTATGACAGGGCAAATGTTGAGAAGCTACGCCTGGAGACGAGGCAGCGAATGGTATGCTTAATCTCAAATAATGTGTCGAGTATAGTGTTTTATTCTTATTTTGAACGCATATCCTGCCTCAAAGTTTTTGTGACAGTGCCAATTTTCTGGTGAGATCTTTATTTTAATAACTTGTGAAAATGGCATCCACGATTAGCTGTTCTCGTTCTGATAACCATTTTTTAGTGGCTTGCATGCCAACACAGTCAACATACTTTGTATAGAACATTCTTCTGTTTCAGGCTTGCTTACTGTTGTCTTACTATCATTATTCCTGGATAAGTAGATATAATCTGATTATCTATGTTACTTTGGCTCTTTATTTTGTCTCGTGTACCCTTCCTAGAAACTATAAATTGTTGATTCCTTATTCAACACTTAAGTTTACATTTAGCACCTTGATTATTTTGAGCTACATTATGGGGAAAATAAAGTGTTTAAACTAGGTTTGAAAAAAAAAATAAATAAAACTGTCATATGCAATCTAAAATGGGCTTGAAATAATGATTTATACAAAGTACAAGAATTTGCGAACAAGTCAGCCTAAAATATGTGTTTATGTATATTTAAATGTGTAAAATTACATGGAAATATTAATTAAGAGTATGTGGCATGTCTCATGAGTTCTTGGCTACCAAACCCATGTCAGTTTTAGGATGTGTCTTACATTTGGGCCTGATCTTGTCTGAGTAACAGTGGATATAACGGATTTCTGGCTATATGTATGTCAAAATAGTTTCTGGTATTTTCAGTAGTATTTATACGCACAACGTTTTGAATATTCTAAACTTCTGGCAGTTCGGCAAGTAGCCTTTTCAGAGTTTTTATCAAGTCAACTATACAGTTGTGACTCAATTAAATTCCAGCAAGCACTGAAGCTGTGGAGATTTGCTTTTTACGCAATGTGATCCTAAGTATTTCAGTTCTTTTTACCTTTCATCTCTTTCTTAAGTTTCATCTGAGTCTGTCTCGATCAATTTATATCATTTTGGAAAGTATTTAGTGCAAACAACCTCTCTTTATTATTTATTGGCAAGCCTTTATGCATTCTACCCTTTGTTGACCTTCACTGAGCTACACATCTTTAGAGACGTCACGACAAATGTTGATACTGTTCTTGACATTGGATTCAGGAATGCCTGTGAAATAGATTTGGTTGTGCAAATGTCTGTGAATCGTATTTGGTGTCAGGAAGGATTGGAAAGGACTAATTTTTTCATTGTTTGCTAAATAGGAATCTGTTTGTGTTTTATGAGTTCATCAGAGTTGGTTTCAAATGTTTCTGAAATTTATCTTCTTGCATTGCAGTCAAGGAAAATACAGGAAGATGGATGGCGACCTCGATGGTTTGAGAGAGAAGGTGAAGACGGACCTTACCATTATAAAGGTGGATATTGGGAGGCTAAACAGAAGGGAAATTGGGAAGGGTGCCCAGATATTTTTGGAGAAATTATTGAAGCCTCTGACAACCTCAACCCAAGAGGCTAAAATATGAACATAGTTAACTAAGGTATAAACTCCTTTTCTTACAGCTTTTCCCCTGGAGTCTTTAGTTTCTTGCAGTTCGTTTCAACATACACGTGATCATAACACTCAAATTAGTTAATATACATCTTAAGAGCTCTCTCTGACATATATACTCTTGAGTATCTGAAGTATTGTAGAGAGAGAATTAAGTTTTCATGTAAACATCAGAAAGTTGTTCAATTCAGAAAGCAAGTTGGAAAGATATAGTGGCTTTGCCAGATTTAGATCTTGGTTTGATTGTCAGGGGGGGTGACTGAGGAGCATAGCAGTCTCTCTTGTTGCCTGAGGTACACAGGATGGAATCCCCAACTTATCTTAGGATTTTTTTTTTCTAAAAGCATGATCAAATACCGTAGGTTTATGTTATAGAAGCTCTAGAATGATCTAAACTATTTTGTTCTCCCTGATCCAGAAGCTGTCTGAACCTGGTGGCACTACCCAAATCTGAAACTGTTACAGCCGCCCTTGCTGCTATCATTTAAAGCGCACCATTTTATCAGGAAGTGGGAGAGACTTTCAAGTTAATCCACTGCTCTCTTTTGCTGATGTATGGAGATTCCACAGTTTTACCGGCCAGAAAATGGGAGTAAGGTTGGCAAAATTCTTGTGGAGCCACCAAAGTAAAGAATGTAGTCCTTGTTATAGTCAGATGATTTTTTTGTATTTTCAGAGGAATAAATGTGGAGGGATCTTTTAGGGTGCGGGAATCACAGAGATGTATGTAGGAAATTGTGGTAAATATCTGCAGCTTAATGTTTCCATTACTTAGTTTTCCAGCCCCCAGTTGTATCACCCCCTTTATTTTCCCTTTTTCCTCCAAAGTTGTAAATTTTTATAAGTGTAGTCATAAAAAAGGTCGCAATGAAATTATTTTTGTAGTACTACGTCATGTCGTTCAAAGGCGTACATTCAGGCAACTCATAACAATTCATTATTGATTTTTGTTACTCAAATATTCTCATCATTGCTACAGATATACTTCAATCACTAACAGGCCATATTTAAGTCTATTGATATACCTCCTAACATGGCAAATTACAAGTGCTGTACGTTATAACATTATTCCATTTAGTTACAGTGCTAGAGTCGAGGTGTGAATAATCTAGCCTTTTGGCTGAACTTGTGATAGAGCTTAAGAAGTCTTGTTCATCATCTAACAATTTTCAATATAATAAGTATAATAGATTTGCAATAGTGAATTAATAACTGTTTCAAATGTACATTTAGGAATTCGATTTTTCTGTATAGGTGTAATTAAAGCAAGTAAGTAGTGTAAATCTTGTTGATTATGAAAGTTGAGGTAGAAGTAGGCTTCAAGTAAGAATATGGATCCATATGACTGTACAAATGTTGAAGATTGCGTGAATCGTGTTTTGGGCTTGCCCAAATCGTTTGACACATATGCTTGTCTTGGTGGCCCAAGTTACTCATGGTTTATGATTGTGAATTGTTCTTTTACAGTGTTTGGTCAAATCCCATTTGTTCTTCTAGTCTTCCACTGAAGAATAGTACTGTGATGCTGCATACACGGTACACTCTATGGATCCATTCTTTTTTAGCAGAGTTAAGCTAAATCTTATCATCCATAATATCGTCAAGCTTCTATAGTTCTATACGAGAATTATTTGCGTCTTTTTTGTAAGTCAATTCAGTTTTAGGCTTTTAGCACGACCTTAGTGTACATATACTAAGATTCAAGTATGATTTTCCATGGGAGCTAGCTACTCATGGTGATTTGGTGGTTCATGGTTAGCTAACATGCGTTTATTTACTAAGATAAGATCCGATTTAAGTATACATACTAAGGAGTTGATCATATCGCTAGGAACAAACTACTGAACTGCTTGTTGATAGATACATACTGGTGAGCATATGTTTGTTGACAGCATATACTTTAAATTAGTGGACGAAAGTGTTAAAAGTAAACTGTCGTTACCTTGATGAAAATTGGTATCTTTTATAGTTTCTTAGAAGCATTATACAATTAAATTAAAAATAACACAAGGAATGTCTTTTATGCTGCCAAACAACTTAGATAAATTAACATAATGGATAAGCATGCATTAGTATTTATATTTCCCCTTAACTTCCAAAATATATATAAAAAAAAGAATATAGATGTACAACCTTAACTTCCAAAATAAAGATGTTTTCAATCAACAACCACCAATCTTATAATGTGGGCAATTATAAATTGATCCACTTCATAGCACATAATTAATAGTAAAAAGTTTGAGTAGTCGGTTTAATTGAACAAGTCCAAATCCATCTAGAATAGAGGTATATCGAGAAAATGGGAAAATGATTACCTAACCCAACTACAAACACTAATTAATGACAGCTTTGATCACATATGCATGTACCATATTAACTCTAAACGGCACTCAAGTAAACCAGCTCGACAACCACCTTTATTTGTAATTTGTCTCTCATTATTATTAGTTACGTACGATCATAATCACCTAGAGAACAAAATTACATTAGGACTGTCCCTAGTAACCAACTAACTATTGTTTCTATTTCTATTATTATTGGTTTACTATAAGAAGAAAGAAATAGCTTAGATCCCTTTATTTTCTATCAAATCACATGCACGCACCCAAGTTGGATTGAAGAAATTAAGATGACATATAGTAGCTAGCCTACTTTGTAGTTCGATAACAAAGTTTTTTATATAACCAATATGGCATCAGAGCCCGGGTTACTTATATATAAACCGATAAACGTGCCACATCATGTACTCATGTATTAGATGTGAGTGACAACCAAGAATTGCTTATACAAATTAAAGGCTTGAACTTGAGACCTACAACTATTACATTACACTACGTAAGTCTTAACGTCTTCATTACCTTTCCATTTAATATGCCTTTGTACGCATCAAAAATATAGTCAACTTTGATAAGATGAGTGCTTAAATTAATTGTAAGTTTTTCTTCAAATATGTAATGATCATAAGGCAATTTAGCAAATTTATTTCGAGGTTACATCCGGGAACCAAAAAAAAAAAAAAAAAAAAAGAACTGTTCAATGTTTTGAGGTTACAACTTTAATATAGGGAAAAAAGGAGTATGTTTTATGTTTTTAGACCGCTTGGTAATAATAGTAGGATAACTCTTGTACCATATAAAATACTTTGATTTACATATAAGATTTCAGGAGGTTCCATATTAAAACGAAATGGTGAGATATAGTTGTATTAACTTCTCTATTTTATAAAGTGTTACTTCATCTATCTTTTTTTTTCAATGTGAAACATTCACAAGTAGGATTGCAATGAGTTTTTAACATTTTTGTGCAAAGTTTATATTTTTGTTTAACTTATGTAATGATAAGTTTGTAATAGTATGTTTGTATTTGTTAAACCCCATAAGCTGATTTTGACACGACCTTAGCTTGATTGATATTGGCACATATTCGTGTGAGAAGAGAATAGAAAAGAAAATAGTGGTGATTGTTGGTATGTTAAAATCATTTCCCATTAAGCATGAGCAGAAGTATGTCGAACGGGTAGAAATTATTACTTTGTAGACTAGACAAGTTTGTCCAAGTATCAGAGAATCACAAGAATTCTGTGGTAATACGAAGTAGTTCGTATAAGTTAGGGGCCGATAAAACAGTAGCACCCACTTAGATATACGAGTATATTAATGACTAAGTTGTGATCACTTAATTTGATGAATATAATGATGATAAAATTAAAAATAAAAAGAAAAGTCAATGAAATCCAATTTTATTCATGAGCCACCTGACAGATTGAGACAATTATGATTATGTCTTGTAATTTTATATGGCTGTGCTTCGATTGATATCTGATTATAACCTGTTGTGTGTTTGTGCTTCACACAAACTTAGCTTGAATTCAGAAATGCTTTTAGTTGCCCACTCCTTAAAATTAAAGGAGTAATACATTCCAACAATTGGAATATTAGCTAGCTTCTTATTGTTACAAAGTCAACCTTTGTTTATTTGGAACAGTCTCAACTGCACTCAGTTGATCTCCAACGAGGTTGTGATTTCACAATACCTGGAGAAGAAGTGTGGTGTGTAGGGACTTCTACATTATAATCATCAAGAAACTAATGATTACAGTTACGTCCAGATCGAACTAATAATAGATGTATGTATTACTTTAGTCTCTCAATATATTTGATCTTGCGTCAGCATGGTTATCACTTTGTTAAGACAATAATCCACATGTGAGTAATGGCTAGGCATTCCGCATTTTACCATAAAAAATTTCTTATAGAATAAAATTAAATCCTATGTTAAAAGTTATTAAGTTTTTTTTTTTTAAAAGGAAATTCTACTGACAATAATTCTTATTACATACAACTACGATTTATGAAAAGTTGAGCTCAGATAATCTAATAAAACCATATCCGTAAGGTGTAAGGTGTAAGGTGTGAGACTGTGATAGTACTTTTAGACTTTCACTTCACCAGATGTTTCCAGCAATCCAAGAAAAAGTTTATGTCTAATATTCAATGTGTTGAAGTACTAAGGTTGTGCATCTTCTTAAAACCCACTAGGTTGAAAACTGGAAAGGGAAAATTTTGGGGAGAACGATCGAAGGTCTGATTATGCATGGGTACATATAGACCTCCGTCAACAAAATTAAAACACGATTATCCATCTAACTCAATGGACAGTACTTTGGTGATGAATTAAATTAAGTTGAAGGATTGAAAGTAAGGAAGTAGTTGCAAATGACGATCAATATAATATAGCTATATATTAATGTAATTACTATTGTGACACAGCTAGGATGATGGAGCTTAGAAACAAAAGCTGATTCGCAATGAATGTAATGATATTTTTCTGAGCCAATAAGATAAAATAGTATCTTAGTAACCATTCGTTGAAAATGGCAATGTAACTTCCCCAACTAGAGAACCCAAAATGAAAACTCTCACCACGTAATTGGCTAGTGTAGTACTACCCCCACCATTAAAGAAAACATCACACATTCTTCAAGAATCAAGATAGTGACTAAATAATAAACGGGTTCATTCGTTGTTATATATTATATGTGAATCTCCCTCTAACTTTAATTTTGTCAAACACGTACTCTACTGCTGTTAGTGTTTTCTCGTCTTTTTCTTGTTTAGTGAAGCTTCCTTTTCTACCACATGGACTCACTTTAGTCTCCACTTCATTCATGTCATGTTTTTCTCTTCTTGTTTTTTAAGTCAACTTCCACACAAGTTATCAATCAATAATAATACACTATAACTGCATTATAATTTACAATTTTATTACTCTATATCTTTCTGTATAACTAGCTACTGAATACATATTTAATAATTAATAGTATATGTTATACAAATTGTGTAATTCTCTTACTATTGAAACTGGCATCAAAAACTTATTAATTCTAGGAAACTATACACTGTTTTATATACTTTTTATAAAAAAAAAAACTTGTTTTACTCTAAATAATTATCCTTGTAAATTGTAGAATAGGTTATCAATATATTTATAATAATTTGTTACACCATATAGCTAGCTAAAGCCAGAAAGGATTAAAACTTATTTGATTTAAAATCCATAACAATAAGGAAAAAGTCTTATTTTATTCCTTCTCTGCATTTTTAAAGTTTTTATTAAACCAACCAAAATTCTATTATCGTTTATTTCTATGTACTTTAAATCAACTAAAAAAAATACACAATCTTCTTTAGCAAAAATTAAATTACACAATCCTTTTTATTATACCTACAATAGTCAATCAAAGCCACTAATTGATTCATCGTTATATAATTACTACCAAACCCTACTATTTAAAAGAAGAAAAAAAAAACGTGTATGAAATAACAAATGAATTTTTATTTAGGGGGTGAAGGAATTTGATGAAGATGTGGTATATTAGAGTACAATTATAGAGATACAAATCATACAGTACAATACATGATTTTCATGTTCTCCCTTTTGGCCTGTGACAACT